CCCAAAAAAAAACAGTTAATGTTGTTTTGGTCTGAAAATCAACCGATACAATACAGAAACAATACAGTGTTATCCAAAACAACAGCGTAAAAGGGAAAGGGATAACTACCATTCATTCAACACCACTTTGGATTTTAGTCAGCGTAACAGGAAAATGTAACAGGAAAATTTTTCCGATTTCTTCTTAGTTAGTTCTGTCCAGGGTTGTAGGTGTGTGTGTTTGGGTCATTAGGCAAGTGCTTAAAAGATTAGATCACCTTCCTTCATAAGCATCATGTGAGTTACCTTCAGATATTGTATATCAGCCATGACAGACAAAAGAGATGCGTAAGTATCATCAGAAAGCTGAATCACTATCAAAACAAAAACAAACAAACATGAAAATACATTGTATAGCAGACTTAACAAACACTAGAAACTGCATGCATCCTGATTGGTCAAAACACCATATTTTATGGGTTTAAAATGTTACAGAGAAACCATGTTTTACTGTTTTGTGCACACAGTTAATCTCTATGAAGACATGATTGATCATTGCAGTTTTGCACACAACTTAAGCAGTTGTGAAATTAAAGCCAGAAAAAAATTCAGGCCTGAATGGGATTCAAACCCATGAACTCTGCAATACCAGTGTGGGAGCTGGTCACTGTGTGAGTTCATAATATACCCGTAAATGGTGAAGAATACAAGTAAATATATGAAAGATCATATTTGAACTGCAGAGAAAGATATGAAGACATGATTAATCATTGCAGTTATGCACACAACTTAAGCAGTTGTGAAATTAATGTCTGAAAAATCTCCATATCACAAATGTTTTTCATTCTACATTTGTACTGTTATGCTATTCCAAGGTCAGAAGGAGTGGGTTTCATTAAAGCCACAGACCAATACCTTGGCTTCTTCCACCAGCAGCCTTTAGAGCACTGTCCTGTAAAATAAAGCATGAAGACAAATTCAGTTGTGTTGTTCAAGAATATATACATACCTTCTCTACTTTTTGGGTTTGACCCTCCCCACCATTCACCATTCTTTTCACCCAGAAAGAACTTCGCAAAGTATTACAACAAGTTTAGATGTATAAAAATTAAATAACAGAGAGATTCTCAAGCCTACCAAACCTTTGTCAGTGAGGGCTTTTATTCCAGTTTTCAGTTTTGGATGAAATTTATCGCCATTTTGGGTGATTTTTTGCATGGTTTTTCAGTTTCTAATAGGCCCCTATGCCCCCCTCCTTTGGCCTTTTCTAATGATGAGGCAACATATAATTCAGGCTACATCAAACTTGAGACTACTTCTAGCCAGCAGTGTCCCTCCTTAATATAGGGTGGTTAGAGGGTTCTGCAGGAGGGGCACTCCTGCTGAGGTCAGTCCATTTCAACTGTGTTGCTTAACACTTATAATACTTCAAGGTTGGTGGAGGCCTCTCAATATGTTTGTGCAGATACTTTTAAACTATATTGTTCTTGGGAGATCAATTTATTTGTTAAGTCAACACTCTTTTAGAAAGATGACCAAGTCTGGAATTCTCATGTGGTTTAAATAGACATGGCACGGAGAAGATAGGAATTGATCACCACTTGTGTTCAAATTGATCTACGACCTATCATACCCACCATCCCCTCCCCAAATATGTGTTGGTTCCGTCTAGACACATCTTGCCTAACGTAGGATACCAAAGTTAAAGGAAGTAAACTATAAAGTGTGGTATTTCGTTTTTTTTTTAAATCATTTGCCATATTACCTGCGATCTGGTGACTTTGTACAGACATATTTCGTTCCCATAGGTGATGAACTTGTCCGGTTGGTTTGGAGACCACAACACTTGCCACTTACCCGTGCTCATTTTGGACAGTTCGTCAGAAAAATGAAGCTAGCTGTGTCATATGGGTACAAATAAAGTTATCCATGTCTCGTTTAAGAGAAAGATAATTAGCTTAAGTCATCGAAGAACTAAAAAATGCCTCCAAATGCCGGAGGAAAAAGTTAAGTTGAAAGTCAGGTGAGCTGTGAGCTGAGAACGCCAGGAAGTCAATAAGATGGTCCAGCGGTTTCCTTATATCATGTGATCTACTCGGCAATGATGTGAAGTTTATATGAAATAGTTCATATATGAACTGCGGTTGTAGGTGAAAGTGAAGAATGATCTTCGCAGTTAATTTTCCAATTTAAGCAATTGGAAAGAAGAAGCCTGAAAAAATCAGGGCTTCAACGGGATTCGAACCCGTGACCTCCGCGATACCGGTGCGATGCTCTACCAACTGAGCTATGAAGCCACACATTGGGAGCGAGGTCAATTAATTGAGTTCATATCTTCCCGTG